TGCAAGGAGTCAGGTGCAAGTTGCAAGTGCATGGAGTCAAGTGCAAGTTGCAAGTGCATGGAGTCAAGTGCAAGTTGCAAGTGTAAAGTCGAGTGCAAGTTGCAAGTGCAAGGAGTCAAGTGCAATTGACTTGCGAGGAGTTAAAATCTCTTCTTAGGGCGGCGGGGTAGTGCCGACGACACTACACGAAAATCGACCCTCTGCGGGGATCGGCGTGGTCGAGGTGCAAAAACCCATGGTTTTTTGCGTTTTCGACCCTCTGCGGGGACGTGGTCGAGGTGCAAAAACCCAGTTCCCGCGCGACCCTCTGCGGGGATCGGCGTGGTCGAGGTGCAAAAACCCATGGTTTTTTTGCGATTTCTGCGGTGCTCGCGCGACCCTCTGCGGGGATCGGCGTGGTCGAGGTGCAAAAACCCAACGCTCGCGCGACCCTCTGCGGGGATCGGCGTGGTCGAGGTGCAAAACCCATGGTTTTTTTTTGCGATTTCTGCGGTGCTCGCGCAACCCTCTGCGGGATCGGCGTGGTCGAGGTGCAAAAACTCGAGGTTTTTTCAACTTTTGTTGTTCGAACTGGTCCTGGGGGTTGTCTCGTGGTTCGCGCGCCTGCTCCCGGAACCGGCGGGTCGCGGGTTCGATTCCTCCCTGGTCCGCGGGCGGGCGTCGCAAGATGCAACTTGCATTTTAAGCAACTTGCGCAGAGCAACTTGCGCAGAGCAATTGCCCCAGTTTGCGCAGAGCGCCTTGCCTAGAGCAACTTGCGCAGAGCAACTTACGCAGAGCAACTTGCACAGAGCAACTTGCGCAGAGCAGCTTGCACAGGCAAGCGCAATTTGCACAGAGCAACTTGCAGGGAACCACTTGCAGGGACCAACTTGCCGGAGCAACTTGCGCGGAGCAACTTGCGCAGAGCAACTTGCACAGTGCAACTTGCGTAGAGCAACTTGCGCAGACCAACTTGCGCCGACCAGTTTGCGCAGAGCACCTTGCCTGGTGCTGTCTCGCGCTTGCTTCACAAATGCTTCGTGTAGGGATGCAGCGTTGGGCCGACCTCGCTTGCGATGTTCTGCTTTCGGGCCAACCGTGGTCTAGTTTTTGAGACCCTGTTTGGATTGTTTTCAGGCGCGAGAGCCTTTTCATGCTGCGAGCGCCTTTTCGTGCGCAGCACAGGTCAATGGTTGCAGAATGTTGCTGTACAGTTCGACTCAGACATGCTTGTTGATGGTTGGAACTCCCTTAGAGATGATTGGCCAGAATCCAACTGCGTTTTCATGTCCGACTGAGGTGTCGTGCTGCCTGCATGGGCTTTTTGTGCGTCTTGTGCCTGGCGGCGGTCATCATCCCCTTGATCTTCTTGCTGCAGCCGTGGGAGTCCCAGAAGGCTTCTACTCAAACACCCCCAAATTTGTTGCTCGCTTCAGTTTTCTTGGGGTTTCCGATTTCCCGCACCCAAGTTGGCGCAGGGTCACACCTAGATTCATGCTCGCGTGTATGGTTTGGCAGTGAACGACTGGTGCGGGAGAGTTGTTGGTGCTGTTAAACTCGATGCGATGAAGAGAGTTTTGCCGTCCTCACAATTTCAGAAGAATGATCATGATCCACACAACTGCGGATCTTGACCTCGCTTCTGCCCCAGTCCCTTTTCACTGAGCTTTCTGGACTAGGGGGTTGCTTCCCGCTTGCTCAATCATCCTTAGTCGGAGCTTGCTGTGACGCTCGGGCAACGAGGCAGATTGGTGGATCCCCAGGCTTTGCTGCCACTTGGCCGAATTGGCTGGGGAATGGAGTGAGTGGTACAAGCATGAGGCTGAGCTGCGGATTTGTACGGGGCTGTGAGTGGGACCTCATGACCAGAGTTTTTTTGTTGGACGCACGAGGATGTTCAGTGGGAGTTACGTCAAAAGGGCAGGCAACTACTGCGAGTCCTGTTTTGACATCTGGCCGTGGGGCTGCCCGGTGCCTGCCGCACCATTTCTTCCCTTATATTATGACTTCGGCTTTCGTAGAGGCTTCTGAGCAAAAGGGACCATCACGCCACATCTTGGATTCTTCGTGTGGGCCACGAGTATCAGTCTGCAGGCTTTGCAACGTGACAGAGAGATCGCCTCATATGTGGCGGCTCATATGTCATAGACCGGCATGCGGCGCTGCGACAGAGACGGGGAGTGTACCGAATGACCCATGAGAACAGCCTGTCAGGGATGGACGTCAATACATCAGGGTTTTGGACAGCCCTTGTGTAAATTCCATTCAAACATGCCCTCCAATTGTTCAAATGTCGTCTCACTGCGCCTTCCGTGCCAGGGCTATGAGTTTTTTGGGTCGAGGGGCACCGTTATGTCAAAGTCCCCCAAGCCTGGCTGAAAGGAGAGGAGCGGGGAACATAGCAACGACCAATCTCAAACAGCTAGAACTGAATGGAAAGAACACCTTCTAGTTTTGGGGCCTAACCAGGGCTCGAAAGGAGGGCGGGCTTGTGGCTCTTTTGCTCAGGACATCAACTGCGCCACGCTCGCGATTTCCGCAGCGGCCACTCGTCTGGGAGGGCCCCATGCACATTGACCAGCCCCTTTGGAAGTTCATGAGATTTTGGAACACCAGAGGAGTCCGGAAGCTGGTTGCTTCAGTGACTCAGTGGCGTTTGCCAGATGAGTTGCATTGCTTGTGATTGAAGTTGAAAGGTTTGCGGAGGTGTGACTCTCAAAAAGACTTTCCGCAGAGTGTTCTTCGCTGCTTGCCCATAAGTTCGGAAGGTTCAGCCTCGCCAATCACTCGCAGTTCAGGGATGTTGAGGGAGTCTCTTAGTTATTTTTTCTTAGCACGCGCAATAAAAGAGAGGCATGCCTAAGAATCAAAAAAGGTTCAGGGTGCAAGCTGGACAGCAGGACATGGCGAGGTGCTTTTGTGTAAGCTCCAAACGCGCTCTTTGATCTTCAGTGGGACCCTCGGGTGTCCTGATTTTTCTTTCCGAAGCTCGGGATTCTTCGGCTTCAGGCGCCCGATCAAGCGGAGATTTGCTGCAACCAGGCGGGGACTGAGCCGGGGTAGGTATGGTTTGGGGAATTGATGAATCCTGGTAGAGGATGCGAAACAAGGAGAGTCAGAAGCAAAACCCGGGTAATTGGAGTGTAAGGGACAATCCCAGCCGTAAATAGGTTTTGGGTGGACCAATTTAATACCAGGTTTGATGTGATTTAGGTGACCACGCACACGCGCATGTACGTAGGCCTTGCTTGTTGGCGTTTTGACGCAGGGCCACCTTGGCTTTTGCGCGGACGCGGCTCCACTGCCGGTGCCAGCGCCGCTGCCGGTGCCAGCGCCGCTGCCGATGCCGGTGCCGCACGTTCCACTTCCGAGACCAGCAGTGCCCGAGAAGGTGGTGATCCACGACAAGCAGCTCGGCGACCGTGGTGAGAGAGGATCCAAGGATTGAGGAGAACAGTAGCCTAGTAGCTCGACATGGTTCCCAGCAGACTGGTGCTTCTTCTCAGGTGCCACTTTGGAGTTTTCGGAGAGTAAGATCGGGTCCACTTTGGATTGTGTCAGAATACTTTGAGGGCAAAACAAACAACTCTAACGCTCAACGACGCCTTGACCCAGCTGCTTTAGAGGCTCGGAAGATTCAAACGTAGGGCCGGGATGGGAGACCTGGCTCTCAGGTACTACACGAGAGTGAAGCTGCTCGGCTAGAGCGGGAGGATACAGCTTGATGGCTTGCAGGTTCAGACACAGCGCAGACTTTTCTTAAGACGGTGCGAATTCCACGTCAGTTATTTTGTTGCAATATCTATGTAAGTTTGTAGATTTTGTGAAAAGCGAGCTGTACTTGCCGAACCACACACACATACATGCATACTTGGCAAAAAGCAAGTCATGTCCTACGCTTGTCAAACGTATGCATTTTTTGTTCGCATGCCGGACTTTGGCGGAAGCCTGGTCGCCTTGGCGAGCTTTGGAAAAGTGGTCCAGTGGGAACGTGTCAAGGACCAGTGTCCCATGCTCCAAGTCCTTCAAACGGGGGAGGTCCCAAGCCTCACGTTTCTTGCAGACCTGATTGGAGAAATGCGTCCCACTTCTGAATCCGAAGGGACATGGTCGGAATTTATACGAGGAATACGAAGGACAACCATCTGATTGAGGGCTTGGACAGCGGTGCCGGGATTTGCGCTTGTGTCTCAGGGAGGTGCCAGTGCCCCACATGGTGCCGGTGCCTATCCCGTCGGCTCCGGCCAAAATCATTGAGCCGCCCAGACTGAAGGGACCTTGGGATGAAAGGTTGGAATGGAGCCGTTCCGGGGCTGGGGGTATCCAAGTAAGTTTGCCTAAGAGGGAGCCTATTGAGCCACCGATCGGAGTTCTGGAAGGAGATGGTAGTGGGGATGAAAGGTGGACTTCTTGACTTAAATCCGAGAGTCATGGTGAGGGAAAATAATGTATGTGATCAGCTGCTTGGGCTTTCGGACACTTGCGATCCAGCGCTTTGGAGAGAATCGATTTGACCTCACAGAGAGAGAGACATGCCGATCCTTTTGACCTATGCCCTGCGGCTGTGTTTGTCAACTAAGCTTGAGGAGATTCGGATTCAATGAGCCCGCACGAGGTTCGTGTTGGCTTATGGTCTGTCATATTTGCATACGGCAAGGCTCAAAAGATTCTGGTCAGCTTTGGGAGGAGCTTCTGTCATGCGAGTCATGTGGGGCTTAAAAAAGAAACGGACAGCTCAGCGCAGCAAAACCACTCCAAGTGAATGAGTCTGGGCTTGCCTGTGTGACAAGCTGAAAGTTAAGACTGGCTGGATTTTTCGCCAACTGCTGGGGGTGCAGAGGAGCTTCTTGTGGGTTCTCGAAAAGGGTTAATGTCCCCCAAGTGGGATCGATCGGGTTTCCTTTTGGTTTCCCTCTCAAGCAATCCTCGAAAAGGTAGCCCTCCAAAACGAAGCAGCCCAGCTGAGACTGAGCATCCAATTCGGAGTGCGCTGAGGCACAAGGTTTTTGTGAAGAGCCATGCCTACGACTGCAACGAAGGCCTGGTACGAGTGAGCTATATAGCTATAACCTACATGGATTTTACCACCATCATTTCTTCTCCGGCTTGAATGTCTAATATTGTCTAATGAAATGTCTTAATCATATTCATACAAATAGATTCCATATTGTCTATGTCATATTTCAACCGTGGGTCACTTGAATCAACGAATGTTCCGTTAATCGTTACTGTCGTTGTTGTTGAATATATATATATATATATATATTTGTTCCTGTGCGGGTTCAACCGTATTACCTAGCAATTTCTTCGTTGCTGCATTTTCATTCATTGTTGATAAGGCACTGTTTGTAGAACTTCAGTTGTTCCAAACTCTTATCAATATATAATAAAACAGAAGGTGTGGTTGAGCTATCTTCCACTCTAAATGCTTCAAGAAACCACATCCAAGCTCTCCAACAAATATGTCCGGGCGAACTCAAGGCTGCCGAGGCGCCAAAAGTAGAACATTAGGATGGTCATCGAGCAAAAACACTGGGACAACAACTGTTTTTCACCAGACACGTCTCATTCTGTGGATTGAAAACATCACAAAACACTGCAGGCTCAGTTGAAATGGACGGGGCTTGCCAAACACCGCAAACAACTGAGTACGCAAGTCTCCCGCAAGTTGACAATGTGAGAGTCGTCTACTTTGTGGTGCAGCGCGGCAGCAGTTTTGTATTGTCAGCACTTCCACAACGCCTCTTTGAAACAGTTCGCCGGAGACACAACACCGGCAGCCGCTTTGCTGCGAAAAAGGGCCAACGCACCAACCACAGCCGCAACGCCAGGACTTTAATTCAGAAAGTGCATGGCCAGCGGGTCTCTGTGTTCGATCGCGCAGGAGAAGCAAGCGGGAAGGAAGCGGAAGCAACCGGTGCCCAGAAGACGGCAAGCCACAACAAATACGCAGGCAGCGCAGGCAGCCACGCGCGGACAGCAAGACCTGCCCAGAGCAATGAACCGCAATCGGAAGTGATGCTAGAGAAGGGGAAGGCAGGGGCCAAGGCCTGCGAAATCAAGAGGGAACCGCCCGGCAGTCAAGACAGTGGACACGACTGAAGCCAGGATAGGGTCGTGTGACTGCCCAAACCGAACAGGGAGTCCAAGTATAAAATGCAAATTTGAAAGACAGGAGTAAGCGCAGGATGAGCCACGAACAAAGACGACACGCCTGCCAAGCGAGAGAGGAGCACACGACCTAAGGCAAACGGGCATCATCTGACATGAGCATGAGAAGCAATGCTGCGGGCCAAGACGCAGTGCCACGTTTTGCGATCATCCCCCCTCCACCCGACGTCCGAGCAGACTCTCCTTAAACATGATGCTTGAGCATGATGTCATCTTGTCGGGGAACCCCCTGCCTGGAGGGTCAAATGATTGAATGGTATTAGTTGCTAAATGTGTGTTTTGTATTGCCATATTAAGCAGCGTGAGCAAATTGGAGGAATGGGAGGCGGGTTCGGTTCCTTTTTTGGGGTTTTAAAGGGCCAAAGTGAAACTTCCACCGTTTTTTTCCCCAAGCAGTTTACTGTGAGGGGTTCTAAATTCATGTAAAGTGACTCGCCTATTGCCAAGCCCTAGCCTGGATGCCTGGCACGGCTCTCTTGGTGGACGGATTCATGTGTCTCCCTTTGTCTTCTGGGAAAGAGTTACCTGCGGCTCAAGCGGAAAAATATGTTTTCGAGGTGCGCAGATGTGTGTGCGCTTTAGGTGAGCATTTATGTTTGCCTCACGCGTGCACATGTGTGTTCCAGGTGTACACATATAATGTGTGTTCTTATGGCGCACGCGGTGTTCTTGGACGCATATTTGTGTTCCAGTAATACACACATGTGTGTCCCACGTGTACACACATGTGTGCTTTAATTGCGAGTGTTTGTGTCCCAGGTGAACACATGTGTGTTCCACGCGTACACACATGTGTGCCTGAATTGGACACGCGTTTTATGGCGTTCCAAGTGAACACACATGTGTGTCCACGTGAACACATTATATCGTGTCGTAGGTGAACACATACGTGTGTTCCAGGTGTACACATGTGTGTGTGTGCTTTCCAGCTCAACACACTTATGCGTGTCCGCGTGTGCTGTTTCAGTCGTATACATGTGTGTCTTCCACGTGTACACACATGTGTGTCTGAATTGGACATGTGTGTCTGGACTGCCCATGTGACCGCGAGCTTGCGCAGCCACACTTGCGTTCAGGCGCGTGCGCTCGCCCGCTATCGCACGCGCTTGCCCAACCTCAGTCCTCGCGCGGTGCTGAAGCGCGAAGCACGCCAGCAACACACGTGCAGCAACGCAACGCGTGCCAGGTTCATGACTGCATCATTTTGATTCATCCGTGTTGAAGCGCAGAAAGCCACAAGCTGTTGGCATGTTTGTGCTTGCCCGTCAGTCCTCAACTGTTTGGGGTCTCTTTTTTTGGTGGGGGAGGTCTAAGCAAAGACGCACCCTTTTGTGAAAGGGGAAGAGACACAGGCGCAGCGACCTTTTTTTGTTAGCCCAGCCCAGATTAGATTAGCGTCCTTGCCCGACTAGAGACGGAATGCGGGAACACATCATCTCAAGGGCAAGCGATGGGAAGACCATCATTTCCATTGAACGTGCAAGACACGTGTGGACAGGTTTTTTTGACATCATGCCCTACCTTTGCGCAAGTCGCAGACAATGCCTGGATGATGAAACATGTCTTTGCTTTCGGAGCGAAAGCCGCGCTTGTAGTCGTGCCCTTTTCAGGATGGGGGGGGGGGTACGCCGGAGGGGGGCATGATGTGATGAAGTCATTCATTTTGCGGCCACTTGTTGGCTGCCTGTGGGGGCATCTCGTCGAATCCCTGAGTGCATCAGATGCCTCCAGTGGAGGTTCAGCAAACGCGATTCAACCGATCTGTTGAAGGACGCAGGCATGTACTTGAAAGAAAACACAGCAGTTGTGGCCCTTGAGACAGACTAAGCAGACCTACCTGTTTTCGCCTCCAGCATTCCGTTTGCGGAATGCAACGGGAGTCTGCCTTTGAGACAGACCAAGCCAGCCTGCTTGTTTTTGCTTCCGGGATTCCACTTCCGGAAGTGCAATAGGAGTCTGCCCTTGAGACAAGCCAAACAAGCCCTGCAACAGGGGGAAGCAAAAATGTGAAATTCCAGGCAAGGAGAGTCAGGACGTTCAAGTAGAGTTTGCACACTGAATCCGCCGATGGACTTTTGGAGGGAATTTGCGGCCTCTGTTTGTATCACCTTGACGGTATGAGGCATGGACGGAGCCACCTGACGGGTGAGAGAGAGCCACCTGCCCGTCTCGCTGCTAGGCCTCAGCACCTTTGCTAGCAGCTGGTCGTCCATGCATCAGCGCTACTGCTGTTACCTGCACAGCGTTGCCTGCCACACTCAGGCCCGAAAGACCCTGCCAAGTTTTGGAGATGTGTGTGACTTTTTTAGGAGACCCCTCAAGATGAATGGTGGTTTTCCTTCTTTGCTTTCCCTTCAAGAGACAACAGTGGGGTACCCTCAACAAACAACACAGGCAGTTTGCACACGAGAAAAAGTCTCGATCGTGGTAAGGAAGCCCATGCAAAGCCTTCGTAGTGCTTGCGCACGTTTAGGGCATTTTCATTCATTTTGTTGACTAGCTGTGGGTGGAGAGGAGCTGTCACCGGAGCTTGGGGTTTCCAAATTTGCTAAGGAGCCTTTCAGAGCTACCAGTATTCTCTGGGGTTTTGGCGTTGCTTTCCGACTGTTTCTTGCCACATGGCCGAGCGCTACAAGGGCCGGGCTTCAGAGTTTCAGCGTGAATTTGCCGCCAGGTGAAGTACCGGCGCCTTGGCAGCATGACGTTGGCAGGTTGAGGGAGATCTCAGTGAACAGCTCTGTTTCGAACCGAGAGAAGTGCCCAGTGAGATTGCTAGTCCAGAAGGTCAAGACCTAGTTGAGAATCCAGACATCCAATTTCCGCACTGAAGCCGGGAGGCACATCGCGTAAACGTTTTGACCTTGAAACAACATGTGAAATCTCCCTTGGATATCCAAGTCTGCTTGCTGACTTGTCGATGTGCTTTGGCTTTTGCGCAAGTCTTTCGGCTTAGGGCACAGGCCGGCGTTGGGGTCCCGGATCAGGTTTCAGAACTTGGATCATAGAGCGAGCGCTCAGGAACCACTACCACACCATCACCTCTGTGAAGCACGTGGGGGTTCCTGTGCACGTGCCGATCCCTGCACCGCCGGCCGCGGAGTACAACCGAGTGGTGAACATGCCCATCCACGAGACTCGGATCATTTTTTTTTGGAAGCGGCTGCCCTAAAAAACCCTTTGAGCAGGAAAGCGCGGCCCAATTTGGAGGAGAGTTCTGTTGAACCCGGCAGTTGTGTACTAACTGCCCACTTGGCTGGACTTTGGTTCTTGGCTTTTCAGTGAAACAACCTGAGCCAGGCATTGCTATATAGGGGGGAGAGTCTTGAAAGAATTCCACGGGGCATGAGAGGCTGCAAGTGAAGCAGGAAGCAAGTTGATTTGAAGGTCGGTTTGCTTTGGCTTCCCCTTAACCCCATCCAAACGTCGGGTTCCCCGATTTATGAGACAGACCCACGTCGTGATTTCCAAGGATCCGCCACAGGTGATCCAGGTGAAAACGCCGGGGCACACGCACGTGGCTGCCCAGCTGGAGTGGCACCTTCTTCTTGTTTTTGTTTTTTGTTTCCCCCCCCCCCCGCAAAGCAGCTCGTCTTTGTTTTTTTCCACGAACTCACCAACCAAAGGCGGCCAGCCCCAAGTCGTCTCATAGGGAAAAAAAAACAAGTTGCCGGTTTAGATTCATCATGAAGCTGAAAGAGGAGCATTGTGCCGAACCTGAAGGCCCAAAGAGAACTCGAGAAAAGCTGGGGTTTCATCAGCTTGAGTTGCGAAAGGGAAGTCTCGTCAAACTCTTGGGGCCCCAGGTTAACCAGTACGTCCACAGCAAGCATTACGTGCCTGAGCCGGTGCCGTCTCCCCCTCGGTTCCGCAGCGTGCCGGTGCCTGTGCCCGTGCACACTCCGGGCAAGGCGAGTGGCGAGTGGCGAGTGGCTTTGGGTGAAGTAACGCCTTCAGGCCTCGAAACTATGAACCATGGAGGAGTTGATCTGGGAGGCTACACGAGTGAAACTCGCCAGGTCGAGGTGACTGACTGTTCTGACTGTTCTTCGTTACAGGCCACGACCTGTGCTTGCGGTCCCAATCTCGGTTTGTGCGCCGCAAAGAACACATGACCGCAAAACACAACAGCAGCTTCGTGCCTTGTGTGGCCGAATACTAGACAAGCGTGAGTTGGGTTGTTGTTTTTTTTGCGGTTTCAGCCTTCAGCTTTGCCAATCCTTCATACATTTTTATACGCTTGTGCTTTTACTCACAGCAGCACAAGCAATGAGAAAGAAACTCTAGGAAGGACGTTGCTGCTTACTGGCTAAACCCCTCCCACCCCCCCCCTCCCCAAATTGGCCATTCTAGTAGATGTTTCTACTCCCTGCTTGAAAGCGGGTTTTCATACTTATGAACCTTATAACCGTCTTAGTAGACCCAAACATCCATGAATTTTTGGGTCGCTCCAGACATCAAAAAGGGCTCTGGTGCGCAGCCACTAGACCCACCGCAAGTCTCGGTCGAGACCGAGCCAGGTGATCCCCGTGCCCAGCCCTCTGCCGCCGCAGACCGTTGTGCACAACAAGGCCGGCCGCGCGACGTTTTAGTCAGAAGGAACCCCCCGGGAGTTTTGTCGCTGCTTTTTTGGGCGGGGCGGAAACTACTTCCGGGTTGGAAGTAAAGTCGCTGGCCTGTTGAAAGGTCATCCGCAAGATCCTTACCTTCCGCAAGGACTTGGTGGCCTTTGTAGTTGTACTGTCGGGATTGTGGAAAGTCGGATTGGCCAAGCCTCCATTTTGACCAGTCCAGACAGGTGGTGCCACGAAAAGTGTTTCCTGGAGCCAGGTGTCGCCTCATGAGTTCGACAGCCTCGAACTTTTGGGGTCTGGGGGTGAGAAGTCGGAGGGAAGTGAGACCGACATGGCAATGAGTTGTGTCACCTGAAACGGGGCTGGTGGACACAAATTCATATCCACCTAAATGATGTCCACCAAAGGGTCCCTGAGAAAATAACACATACCCACATGTCTAGCTGCCCGCCAAGAGCAGCTCTGGAGCGGGCGCTCTCAGCGCCCTTCGGAGACGTGTCTTTCATCTCCCGTCCTATCTGCAGACAGGAAGCATGGAAGCGGTTGCTGACCCAGTGAAGTGCAAGGAATGGATGGTCCAGTGATGGAATCTAAACATATCTCTATCCCTTCCGTTCTAGCCCATGGCAGGGGGCACCCGGAGATTGCCAGGTTGTGTACAAGACCAGGCACGTCATCACAAAGAATATCTATGACTGCGATGCCGGGTTCAACAACTGGAGACTTGGCATTTCGGCATTTATCACAGGCTTGCGGCCAGCGGGGTGCCAGTCACGAGTGCAAAGGCGTTGCAGTTTGCAAGTCAGGGGCCTCGGTAGACCTAAAAGGTAGATCTAAAAACAAAATCGTGTGCGGCAGTCAAGCATAGTTCTCTTTGCGATGGTTATCCTCGTGATTGAGTTCCAAGAGCCCTTCGTTTCTCTCTGCACTTGACGGTAGCTCGTGGGAGACGCAGTGCCCCCAAACAGTTGGCCGGCGTTCTGGCTTTGTACGCTTGACCTGAGACACTGTACTCATCCAGAGTTGATTCATCCGATCCGCTCCATCCCCGGAAAACACGAACAATCAGAATAGCACTACTTGGAGAATGTCTTGACACGCCGCCAAGGGACAAGAAGAGATTGGACACAGTGGCATTGGAATGTTCGATTGGGGGGGCAATTGATCAACTGTGACTTCAACATGTTCTTGTGAGGAAGTATGGCTGGTCCAGCCCCAAGAAGACGTGGTGCTGCGCCCACGAGAACAAGGGCTGTCCAGGCGGAGTGCTGAAGATCTAGCAGATAAAACGCAGGGCTTCTGACGACATCGTGGTTTTCTTGGATGGTTTGGTTTTGGGAAACGCCCAAATCGGCTTCAAGTTGGGGCATGGGACGCCCCGAAGCCGATTGGGGAAGGGTGCAGAGGCAGAGCTCACGCTGATTCCATTGGGCTGAATGTGGGCTTCTCGGAAACAATGCAGTGGGCATTGGTTTGGTAAGGCTTCGGTCAAATTGTGCTTCAGTGGCATGTTGCTCCCTCCAGTACCCGTTCTCGGGTGTGTTTTGTGCCGCGACTTCGCAGGCACATGGACTGGCTCCGGCCTGACCAAGACCATCGTCACCGGCGTCACCACGCACCATGGTCAGTATGACGGCGATTACGGCGACTACGGCCACTACCACTACGGCCACGGCGGCCACTACAGCGACGGCGGCAGCTATCCGGGCGCTGCGCGGCAGGAAAAGCGAGGGCGTGGGGCCGGGCTGGCTTTCTTTTTGTTCGACTACCAGACCA